TTACTTAATGCAAAGCTGCAAGCTATGATGGCTCTTCTTTCTGAGGATAGTTCATCTCCTCATGGTCAAAAATGAGAATCGCCAAATGAAAATGAAATACCAGGACTAAGTCCTTAGATAGCCATGTAACATTAGTTTCAAATGTCTCTCCCTCCCTCCCTCGAAATCAATAACAATAGTAACTTGTTGACGTTGCCCAAGGGTTACTGTTCTTAATATATTTCATTTCATGTTGACAGGGTAAAAAGCTCCTGGTTGTTGGTACGACAAGTGAATTGATTTTCTTGGACTCAATTGGATTTTGTGATACTTTCTCTGTCACTTACCATGTTCCTACGCTGAACACAAATGATGTAAAGAAGGTACACTTTTTGTTAACATTGCGGTACTACCTTTGGCTAGCCAAGTCCCAACAATAATAGTGCTGGAGCATTCATGTGTACTGTGTAGAATTTCCAGTGCTTTTAGCTCTTTCTATCATTGTAGATGGAAGAATAACTTCATTTGTATATGTAACCAAATAAAGGGAAAAAAAAAAAACAACTTAATGTGTATCTTAAATTCAATGCTAAAATGTAGCTTATAAATGTACAATTTGCAAGTTAATAAAATAAAGTAAATTACACAGATCTTCCATCTATTTTCAACAAAATATGTATAACTTATTTATTTTAATATCAGGTTCTAAAACAGTTGAATGTCTTTGCTGAGGGTGATGTTGAAGATGCTGCAGAGGCCTTGAATGATGTAAGTTTTATCATCCCATTGGGGGTGCTCCATTGGTTTAATTATCTCGTACTAATCTTTCGCCAGTCGTCAAATTAAAGAACAATAATTTTAAACGAAGGGAAACTGTTCCTGCGTACCTACATCCTTTATCCGGTAGTATAAAGCTGTTAGGACTCGTCTCTTAATTCTATCATATTTTGCTCATTCCTTTTATATTGTGGTTGCTTTCTTTTCCTTTTTTTTTTTTCCCTCAAGAATCTAGCATATTTTGTTCACATGTTTCGCCAATTAAGGATTGTCCAATTAATATCATGCGCCCTGGTTTCTCATGTTCATGCCCAAAATTCTTTATTTTTCCCCCCAGATGCCTATCAAGAAGCTATACACGTTGGTTGAGATGGCAGCCCAAGGTGAACAAGGTGGATCAGCAGAAGCAATCTATTCTGGCAAAGAGAAGATTAAGTTATCTCACTTCTATGATTGCCTTCAGGATGTGGTCCGAGTATGATTTTGTGTCAAGTTTCTTCAGTTAGAGTATAGATTCACCCTCATTGTGCTGTAATCCTATTATCTTAATTTTGATTTATCCATTTCTTTATTCCAACATTGTTATGTGGGTAGTGTATCTCCATCATCACCTTCCCTTTCTTCTGCTAATTTTTTTGGGAGGCTAGAGTTTGCAGTTCCTGCTTTATCACGTTAACGGGTTGAGTTTGATATTGCGGCCTAGGTACATAATTTTTATTTGTATGAGGCTCAATTATTAAATGACTTGATAATGTACCTTGTAATATTTTTTTTCACACAGGTGTAATGATCACATATTTCATATTTCATGAATCAGTTTACAGCATTATTTTCAAAATAGATATTAGTTTGACTAATCAATCAATGCTTGAGTTGCAACATTGAACATTTTAATTACATTTTGATAGCCCTCATTCCCTGTGATGTTTGCGAGCTTACATCCTAGGTTTAATTAGTACTCTATCAATTGATACAATTAGCATGTTGATGTTTGTAATGGACTTGTTTGTTTCGGCTTATTTTATAAAAAAATCACTTATATTTTTTTAAAAAATATATTGTAAGTTTTTATAATGTTTGTTTAAACTTTGAAATTAATCAGAATATGGGAAAAAAGAAGTAAATTATGATTATTTAAGAAGTTAAATGTTGTAAGTAAACAAAATATGCGAAAATATTATAAAATTTTAAAATAATAGAATATAAATGATTTTTATAAAATAGAAATTAAGAAAGGTATTATAACATTTGAAAATAATTAATTATTTTTTAATTATTGTAATTAAATATAAAATATTTTTTTTCAAAATCTCTACGAGATAAATTTCATTTTATATAATCTCTAAATTATTTAAAAAATATTTATTTTTTAATCTTAAACAAACAATTTATGAGGCATTCTTATACAGTTTATTTTTTATATTCTTTTATAACAAAGATTGTTAAAAGCTTTCTGGTATAAAACAAAAAAGTTTGTGACATTGAAATAGGCTTCAGTTGCTAATAAATCAGATAAAATCAGATATACTTTTGTTCTCATACCGCTCTTTTGATATACATAATTGAATGGTTTTGAAAAATTTTAACATATTGAATTCAAAGTGCCATGCTATTATTGCTTAATATTAATATGGTGAAGGCATAATCTTCTTTCTCTCCTCAAATAATAGACTCATTAGTGCCAAGTGTGAGGGAATGCTAGATGTTTAGTAATTTATCCTCTTGCAAGAATAAAAGTTCCCATTAAAGCAGCTAATCCCATGCATGTTGTCTATATATTTGGTTGCACAAATTACATAATATCATAAATAGTTATTTTGGATATCATCCATTTGCCCAAAGAATTTATAAACAAATACAAATCTTTGGTATCATTCTCTATATGGAGATATACCATAAGGCCAATAATTCAAAATCGCACTATCAGTCCTCTAACCTAAAAAAAGTATTCTTTCTCAATAAATTTAATTGATTAGAATAAGATTTTATCCTTTAAGAGTCGTACATGCATCTTTTGATGTATACAGATTTATCAAAAATTGTGAAAAAAAAATCAATGTGTAGATTTCAACTCTTTTTTCATAGAGGATTTTTTCAAACTTCTAACGAAAGGTCTTTTTCTTACATTTTTCAAGGAAGATGACTTTTGATCCATTTATCTATATTATTCTATATTAATATTTAATAATCATAATTTAATAAAATAATTCTAAAAAAAGAATATATTAAACACTTATTGAACTAACTTCTCATTGATGTATTATTTTCATCGAGATTGAATCCAAATCACAAGTAATTTTCTTATTTTTGATTTGTACAAGTAGCACAGATACCATGACTTTTCGTTACAACTTCTTTTCTTCAATTTATTTCATGTTTTCCAGCAAATACAAATATATGATAGAAATAGTAATTGTAGATATATTATATTATCAATTTTTTTTTAAAAAAGTGTAGATGCTTCATTTTATTGGTCCAACCACACCGATCATAAAGAAGCATAAATTTCTAATATTAATCAAGACATCCCCCAAAAAAAATCCAATTATATACTCCACACACCAAATATTTGCTAATCCAATAATATATTTGACAAGTTGCACTATATGTCAGCCCAAGATGTATCTTTCTTTTTAGAATTTTGAAAGATACTTTTGAAACACCAATAGAGATTAAATGACAAAAGAATTGAATTAAGTAGTATCCCGCTTTTATGCGGAAACATAACAATGGGTTTATTGTTTTAATAATGATTGATCTTTATCATATTTTATTTATAGATTGAATATAGATTGAATAAATTCATAAAAAAAATTGTAAATACAAAAACAAAAGGAAGACCAAGTGACTAAAGGAAAATTCTTACAAATAGGTTCTTTGAGTGATGAACAAATATGCCCACATTCACTGATATAAAGATATAAATACTCGTATAAAATATGGTCAACACCTCCCTCCATTGTGTATTCTTACAAATAGGTTCTTTTGTTTCTATAAATGGAATTCTTCTGTTATTACTGTTGTTGCTAAAAAACTAGAACAAATATCAATCCTTTATCTGATATAATCCCTTCAAAATAAAGGGGTCCATAGTAAAAACTTTTACAGTACAATAAAGTACATAACATTCATTTTTTGTTGATATAAAAAGTATTTTCACGGGTTTGCCTTAGTATCGTATTCAAACTATGTATTAAATGATCCCAATCATTTACTTTCTGCCCATGTAATTCATACAGCTCTGGTTGGGCCCGTTGTATGCCTTCATGTGAATTGGCCGTGTTTGATCCCTATGACCCTGTTCTTGACCCAATGTAGCTCAATATTTGGTAAATGAACATTGATCACGCAAATGTTAAAACACACTTCTGCTGTACTAACATAAGCACAACTGGCGTTTTCGTTAGATTTCCTTCGGTAGTATTAGATTTTCCTTCACATTAGGCAAACTTGCTTCTAATTAAAGATTGACATTTAAATCTAGAATAGTAGATTATTTGTTACATAAAAAGAACCGCTTTTTACTTGTAAACTTAAGTGCCTATTAATTAAGCTTTGTTTGGTAAACAATGGGGCATGAAGCCCAGAAAAGAAGCAAAATAAAGATCATGAGACAACTATTTTGAATGAAAAAAAATACTTGCGGTTCCATTTAAGCCAAACAAACTATACTCCATGCATTGTTTAATTTGTGAAATGACGAAACTGATCTTTAAACAATTGCTGTCATCAACCCTCTGATCATCGAGAGGCGAAGGTAACTATAACAGTAAATGTTACCCTTAAACCATAGAACTCTCTTGTACAGCTGTGTTTTGTGTCTGGCTCTATCAAGTACAAGGAAAAGATTAGACCAGCTTCTTTTATTTCGACTCCAATTGAATCAGTCCTGAAAGAACAAATTGAAAGCCACATTGAATTCTTGATATCTGTCCAACAGGCATGAAGGGATCGTCTCAAAGTCAAAGTACCTTCATACTTTCGAGAAATCTTAACCATGCTTCTGACTTAGAATAGAAGTGAAGTCATTATTACTTCTCAGGCCCAAAAATAAGTCATCGTTTCTCCACGCAGGACAATGATCGCTGGGATGCAGAGAGCAACGTCAAGATCATCATCATCTTACACCCAGGTAAAGCCGGGATTATACGGTAAATCCTGGAGCAAAAGAACGGATATATCTATCGAACAAAAAATATCATAGGAGGAATGACAAAACTGTTTATAAGTTAACACAGGCAATCTATACTAAGCCAAAACCTTTGGATATTATATATCATCTATACACGGAGATCATAAATGTCTTTCTCAATAAGCAAATTGTCTTCTGATCACTGAAGACGTTGAACAGGTTTTCAAAGAACCATTAATAGGTGTTAATCACAGTGACACGTCCCGATGTGATCCACAAGAAATATAAGCAATGGCCCACGAGACTGGGATAAACAGAACAATACATTGAGACTGAATTCACTCCTGGCAAGTACTGCATGCAAATTAGTCGTCCTTCCCTGCCTACTGGTGGGACGACCTGGCAGGTTTTCACGTCTAATAACCACATTAATATGAAGATGTAACTAGTACAACTAAGTTTTACAGCATCCTTCAGCATCTGACGGCTACTTGTATGGTCCAGCATAAAGAAGTTGGTCCAGTCCCCACTCATGTGAACTATAAATACAGTACGCTACAAAGCATGAAATTTCCTCTGATAAATAGCTCCAAGACACAAAATATCTGTTTAGTCTTGGACATCATGATCGTTAAAGCTGTTGGCCCAAACCTGTCAGCCAATGATCTTATCTCCCCACTAACCTCCATTATGTCGATTGTGTTAGCACGTTGAACCCTGGCCAATATCTCTTCAGCAGTTTTGTTCCAACTTGTCCACAATTAGGAAGAAATGTTAAACCCAAGAAAAAGGACCTTCACTTTAAAATGGTCATAGACCCCCAGATACTTCCCATCATCATTGCATAGCTTATTCCAAGCAAAAAATTTTATGGCAGTGGTTGACATAACTTCTGCACACTCGCGCATGAGGAATTTGAGAGATAGACACAATGCATTCTACCGATTTTGCATGGAGATAGATAGTATTGATATAAAAAATTGAGAGAAGATGTACTATATCAAAATTTAGAAACAGATACTGATCCTAGCCTCATCTCAAACTGAGGAGCCGGAACCACTGGAATAGGGATATCAAATAATAGTTCAAGAGTCTAAAATTTAAATTTGTGACAATTGCTCTTGCTATAGAAATAATGCAAATATCATAATCACAGCTTTGTCCCGGATTCCATATCAAGATTTTAGCTCACCAGAAACTGAATTATCATAAATCTACATGAGTTTTTATTGAAAATCCTAAGGGGCAAACTGGCAAAGTGCAGGTTTATGGGGAACTGCTTAATGTTTAACTTTTAGCTTATAGCTAAAAGTCACTTGGGCCACAATGCAGAAAAACTCAAGTGCTTCCAAAAGGAATGCCAAACAAACAAACCGCACCATACTTGGATCTACAGAAACACCATAAATTATAGCTATTCAGCAAATTAGCCAGCACAAAAGGCCCTGAGAAGCAAACACAGCAGCTTAAGAGGAAAAACTCCATGTAATATAAAGCCATCAAGACAATCATTCTATAACAAAATTAAGTAATTACAGCTTCTATGAGTAGTTTTCTTTTATCCCACTGTACCGGATAAAACAATCCAGACATTCAAACTAAGAGCTAACACTTAAAATATACCATTTGATCAGAGAGAGATAAAATGACTGCTAAGAAGATGCACAATCCATATATAATAGAAAAACTCTAACAAACCACACTATTCATGAGTTATAAATAATGAGGCTCATTTTTTGGACTTTGTGCAATGTACATTACCCACACTAGTTACTCATATGGTACCATACGGACATAACACGTGCACCAAAAAGTAATAATAGGCACTAGCATATGTATTAATTTCTTCTTGCCTATTAACGTGCATTAAAAATTGAACTTCAGGAGGTACAAGAACATATTAGAATTTATTTAAGATGCAAACTCACTTAATGCTAGCCACATGCTCCGTGTAAATGGTACATCTAGAAGGACGTGCCAAAACAGAAGACTGAAGATCACCTAATCATGACCATAGAATGATTTTTGTTGTTAAAATGGCATTTCTTTTGAATATTGCAAAACTTGTGAATTTTGTTTGAATAATTTCCAGTAGGCAATTTATGTATCAAAGAATGGTGGGCAATTATTTCTGCACACCAAATGCCTCATCAATTACCACTGTTGATGGCGCTTAGTGAACAAAACGTCACTTCAATTTATGTATCAAAGAATGGTGGGCAATTATTTCTGCACACCAAATGCCTCATCAGTTTTCACTGTTGATGGCGCTTAGTGAACAAAACGTCACTTCAATCTAAAGAGTGCTAAAATCCTATAAAAGGTAATTTACAGGTGATTGTAATCCTAAAATTTTTATAAACAACTAAAAAATTAAACGATGCACATCTAAATCCACGGAAAGAAGAAACATGCAACTGTCGATTTCTTACCTAGTCAACTATTTTAACCTTGACACACACTGGCAACTTCAACTTTCATTCAGTATTCATCAATGTAAATCATTTTAATAGACTTCAAATCACAACCATTAAGTAAAGCATCAGAACAACCCTGCCAGTACGGAAATTATCACAGAAATTGATTTGTCTGATCTACAAATCCAAAAGAAACTCGCTTCAAAAGCTTGGTATTCTGAGGAACCAATATTCATGAACTCCGATATAAAAATGATTTTGCAAGGAGAATTTTTGCAGAGATTTAAAATTTATTGAATATCATTCACAGCCAAGATATAATTCTAAAACACCCCATGATAAAATTACCAGAAATTCAACTTTTACAAGATAATTTGAAGCGGGGAATTATACCGATTAGCAAAAATAGGATTGGGAGCGGACGCTAATCATACTTCTCTCTCCAAGAATAAACAAGAAAGAAAACCCACGATAGGGCCAACAGAATATCTCCAACAGTCTGCCTGAGCCAATCCCAGGCGAGATCCTCGACCTTCCTTTCAAAGTAAATCCTCCACATAGCCATGAAAACATGAAGAACTGTACAACCTTTGGCGAAAAAGGCCTGAAAATCTCTGTCCTTCACGAAGGAAACCATGAAGAGAATGAACCCGATAGCGACGAGCAGCAACCCGGAAAAGGAATCGGAGGTTTTGATCAAGAGCTGGTCATGGGGAGTGGATCCCAAGAGCTTCGTCGCTGTCTGCACCCCATGCCCAAACGTGTACACCTCCTTCATGTAGAACATCATCAACGCCCCCGAGGTCATAGCTATCAGAGAGTGCAAGATGCAAATCACGAAAAACGCAGGAGACGATCCCATTTAATCGAACGGTGGCTGCAGCGGTGGCGAACGGCTGATGCTCTACAGGTTCGACATGATCGAGTCGGTAATAAAACCCTAACCCTCTCACTGCACAATATGGGACGAAGAAGACGAGACCGATAGACGCTTTGAGGTTTATTTTCCTCCAAATCTGTTTTAGGAGTGTATTTGGGGGTGAAATTTGGGAAAAGATTCCCCGCCAGATATGACCAGAGTGAGAGATTCAAGATAGGGATCTCGTGGGGCCTACCCTGAAAGCTGCATGAGACGATTGCCTACGATTGTGACACGTGTTATCTGTCCAACATCGCCTGCACATTCTGATGGTTAACTGGTCACACTCAGCTTCGGTGTGTCCGCTTTCAGATAGGTGCAATGTTGTAATTTTTATTTTAAAAATAATATAAAAGAATAAAAATTCTCTCCAAATTATATTATTTTTTATTATTAACTGCAGCAATCTCGTTATATAAGCATAAATATTTTTATTAATAAAAATTCAAACCTGTTGGTGTACTGGAGTTCCACATCCTTCACAATAAACAGATGATTCCTAATGTCATGAATAATAAGGTGATCATGTGTGCCATCTTTAAAAATTAAATTGACACCTTCAAGTGAGTCTGAATGAATACTGACACCATTAAAATTATTATATAAATATAAATATTTTTGTTAATGAGAATTTAAATTTAAATTTATTTTTTATTAGGAATTAATTTCTTTTGCTAAATTTAACTATGTACTTCTCACCAAATTATATTACCCTCCATCATATCCTATCTCTATGAGCCAGATCCTATCTTCAGATTTTATTTTAAAAAATTTCAAGTAGAAATTTTTGTTATAATTATAACTTAACATAAAATATTTTTATTTTCTTTATTAAATTTTTAGATCGAAAGAAAAGGATAACTTATGAGTGAGAGATGTATATGTTTTTTAGTAAGTTTATTTATTTAGCCTTATATATTTAATATATTTATATTTAATCAAATCAAAATTTTGGCCAAAAAAATCAAATTAAAATAAGTGTATCTTAATATATTAATAAAACAAGAATCTATTATAGAATAAATAATTTATAAAAGATTCACATGCCTTGATTTAATTAGAAATAAAGTGAATCAATAGTTTAACTAAGCTTTCAAGAATAATTTGTGTTTCATTTTTCCCAAAATAAACATAATAAAAAAAATAAAATTAAGGGAGCAAATCACTTAATATAATAACATGAATCAAAAAATAAAAAAGAAATTTTAAATAAGGAGTGAGATCATATCCCTTAACAAGTGAAATGCCAGAAAGTATATAATAAGATTGATTTGCAATTGAATGTTTTAGATCCAAACTCCAATAATTTGCATTAAAAGCTTAAAAAAGATTTGAAAAGATTGAGCATGATTTTCGTATCTTTGTATTATCTTAGAAATATTAATATTAATTGATGATGTTAAAATAAAAATTACTAAGATTATTAATTTGGCTATTTTTGGTAGTGATGCTTATATAGCTGTTGTTCTCTCCCAGAACTTGGTATTCTAAAGGTAAGAATTTTTTTCCTTTTACCAGCCAGTTGAAAAGATTCTTGAGTCAAAGAACTCGAGAACTCGAATTAAAAAGAGTTTGAGAATTTTGTACGCCTTCTCCATAATTCATATATCCTCCAAAGAAAACAGATTTAAATGGGTGTTTATTTCAAATAAATATTTAGATCCTATTATTAATATAGTTTGCCAAATTCCAACCTAAAAAAGATAAGGTAACAAATAAGCCGTTTCCCTAAAAGAATAAATAAATATATGTATGAGCCAAAATTCTAATTTGAAAAATATTTTTTCTTTTAAGGTCATATCTCTTTCCTTCAATTCCCAGAGCGTAAAACCTCACTATTGGTAAAAAAATAATAATAAATAAAACCTCACCGAAAAACTATCTAATTGGTATAAAAAGGAGTTCTAGCTCAATTAATACATTAAATTTGATACATTATATAGAATTCAGAAATAAATTATTTTGTTTATAACTTATGAATAATATTAACTACAAACATTAAAGTTCATTATAAAGACGCTAAAAGCAGTTGGGTTTGGGTGGTCATGTTTGGGATGTGACATTATCATGTCACTCTTCTGTGATGTCTTGGCGTCTATATAGTGAACCAAGTGTACCAATATTTCAAAGGAGTAACGTAGCTCTATCCAATACTTATAATCTACCACACGCAAAATATTCTCATGTTTTTGTTGTTAGTTTTTTTTCTCCAAAATGTTTTAGAACAATCTCAAATACTTACAATCTATTACATGCAAAATATTCTTTTTTTTTCTCCAAAATGTTTTAGAACAATCTCAAAACTTATAACACAATTTGTTGTATTTGACATACCATATTAGGTCATGCTTGATACATATATATCCATACTTGTTTTTCAATTTGCAAAACAATACCAAATTTATGCACCATAACTTATATCTTTGCCAAATTTACAAGACAATGCAAACATTGGGTTTGGGTTAATAGTTATATGATATATCACCACTTAAGAAATAAAAGAAAAAAGAACACATGAACAACAATGCAACACACAACATTAGGACAACCAATGCTAAAGGCCAGACAAAATGTGGATACAGATTCATAATTTAAACTCATCTCATTTAAAATTACCAACCGTAGGTAGCAAATTATGGATAAATTTTAGTCACTTTTTTAGTAAAAAGGAAGAAATAAGAGAATCAATAGCCAATATCCTTTTGCTATGATAATAAATCAAAATGGGTGGCAACCCATATTATAATTATTTGAAAATGTTACTATATATACAACAAAATAAATTGAATAAAGATGGACAATTCCACAAAAGTAAAAACCGGAAAGAACAAAGTGTTCCCATAGAAACAGTGTAACACTCATCTTCCCAATATTCCTCCAGCTCTGCAATGAATGATTCACTCAGGTGCAAAAGAATAGTAATAATATAAAACCATGCCAAACAAAACTTTCTTCAACTTGTTGCCTCATTGTCTCTAGTACCAATAGCAACTTTGCGGTGGCGCCTAGAACCTGACCTTCTATCTCTCCCACGTCTTCCAGAGCCTCTCCTAGCAGGAGGACTTACAAGCACAGGTAAAAGAGGCTGCGAATAGGGTGGAGGAGGTGGAGGAGAGAGAACAATAGAAACAGGTGGAGGAAGGCGTTCCAAGAGGTCCCTATGATATTTCTGCAAGCAAGAAAGGATTTCAATGACAAAAAATAAAAATAAATTAGAGACACTAAAGATATCCCACAGTAGGTAAGAAAGAGATTTGAAACAGTGGAAGGAATAGAAGAGAAATGAGTAACATTTAATATTTGAAATGAGAGGCAAACATAGAAACCATAATCACCCATATTACATCAGTTGATAACTGTAAAAATTTTGGTTTCCCCAATGTTTTGTTCTTGCCATCCAAGATCCTCCCATAGGATATAATTACTATATTTTACAATGCAGATTACTATAAAAAAGTAAGTGGATAGATTCTGCTAAAAACTACAAAATTGACAGTTTTGTTGCTTTAGATAAATTTGATGCAAATCAGATGAAAATGAAACAATTACCTGAACTACAAAATTGCGTCTTTCACAATCCAAGAACATGTTAACATGAAAATCCACCTTTGACAGAAGCTTATCCCTGACAGTAGAGAAACTAATCTGGTCCCTAGAAGTAAATCTGTCAACTTCATTGAACCAAAGACAAGTAAACAGGTTGCTAATAGGAACATGCTCTCTTACTATAACACATCCTTCAGGAACATCTGCAATTCAGCCATCAAGATTTAGGAAAATGAAAAATATAGAAAATGAAACAGGTACAGATTATATTCACATTCCATAAAGCATGAATGTTTCACTCACCACTTATAATGGGAAGCTTAGCCTCTGTATATGGGGTCAATCCCTCCTTCTTATAAAACTCAATCTGAAAGTCAATAGAGGCATTTTCATACTTTCCAGCAGCTTTATTTGCCTCAGCCTCAACAAATACATCAAAGCGTCTATAATGTTTAGATATTGCAAATGTAGCATTTTTCCTCCACAAAAACCTAAATAAGAGACAAAACTGATTAAGGCATGGTGAATACCCATGTTCTGGTTGGACAAAGCAAGGAAAAAAAAAATAGGACGAGTCTAAAGCTTCACTCTTGAAGAGTACAAACAATTTCCTGTAATGTTCTAGCTCCACAGGCTAGAAGTATAGTTATTGAGATTATACCCAAGGAAACACTCAATAAGCACACACACACACATGCAATAACAATGCATGAATAACTTTCAAGAATATAACAAAATAAAACAAATTGTTAACACCTTGGATGCCTGCCCAATTAGGAAACCCAAATAACAGAATATAACAGAATCAATTGCCAATTCCATTAACAATCAAACAACAACAACAACAACAACAAGCCTTTATCCCAGTAGGTGGGGTCGGCTACATGGATTGCAAGACGCCATTGTGCTCTATCGTTTATTAAGCTTTTAGAAATATTATTAATTAAGAGATCACGTTCAACAACTTCCAAGAGTGTTCTAATTCCATTAACAATCAATTGCCTATAAAATAAATTTCTTGTTAAATTAGGAAAAGGCATATATGGTAATAGATAAAGTTGAAAAGGTGCTCTTCACATAACTAGGAGATGAACCACACCAAGATAGTAATTCTGCATCAGTTGGATGTGATATTTAGTACAATCAAAATCAAATAAACCAGTGGATGATATGATAAGCTATAAAATAAAGATCAGAGACTGCATTGAGAGCTATAATGACACAATTTTGCTGCCCTCAAAATGTAGAAAGTACTGAAGCCCCTAACATTAGATATCCTTTTTCCAAGAAAGATACCATTGATTTTCATAATATGTAAAAGATATTATAATATTGACAATAAACTGAAATAAACCTTTCAAGAATTTGATATGGATCAACAACAAGCTCAAGCTTCCCATCAATCCATATAGAATATCGAGCATTTGGAACCATTCTATGCAGCAGAAGCTTTGGAACCTGCAGTAAAGGTAGCAAAAGTGACAATGTGTAGAAAGATATTACTTTATGAACAAAATACACTAGTCTTTTAGTAAGATTTGAGGTCATCTCAATTTATAAAAACATGGTTAAGTTAAATGA